CTAGCCCCCCCCCCCCATCAGAGCAGCCCCGACTCTGGGAGCAGCCTCCACCCCAGGCTCTCACTGCTCTCTTCTCTGGCTCAGGGTTCCTCAGGTAGCTCTTCCCCTGCAGGAAGCTCCTCTCCTTGGCAACAGGTGGGCCAGACTACCTCCTTGCTCTGGCCCCTCAGTTTATAAGCCTCTGCAAACCCTGCCCCTTCCAGTCAGGTGGGTCCCCAGGCACCCACAGGGGGTTTCTAATCAGGGCCTGATGGATAGCTCTCTGAGCAGCTTGCAACCATTGTTCTGGCTGCTTTGGCAGTGCCCTTGTTGCATGTAGTACGGCTCTGCCCTACTGTAGAGCAGGGAGCACTGCAATGGCCACTGGCTCCCATGGCTGCCTATTCCCTGCAGCCAGCTCATCAGGTGCAACTAGGGAGTTGTCTGCTCTATCTTTCCCCTAAAAGTAACAGGGAGCCTCTAGCTCTCCGTTACACCAACATTAAAAGCAATGAGAACTGTGTTAAGTCATTTTTCATTGCATCTACTAAGTTTTCAAAAATTCCTCTCAGATCAAGATAAACGTGATACAGCATTTCAGTTTTAAGATCAAGGTACCTCCTGCTCACCATACACTGAAAGGCTCCCCCCCTTCTTAAGTAGGTTAGTACCGACAAAACTGTTTCAAAAGAGTTATGATTACAATCATTTTTACCTTGCTTCTAGATGACGGCCAGTAACCAACATTAGACCTCTTAGTGCAATAAAGGTATCTCTTCCCCAGCAGCGGAAAATACCAGAAGAAAAATGAGGTAAACCTGAACAGTAAATGTGATGAACAGTTGTTAGACTGCTTAGTATAGAAATTTGCTAATATAAAGTACACATACAAACCAAAAGGTTAAAATATTTGTACTGATATTTGTATTCCAAACACAAAAGGCCTAAAAATACACAGCAAAAATAAATAATGGAGGGAGAGAGAAGGGTCCAAAAGAATGACAAAAAAGCCGGTGCTGACAAAATGAATTTCATATTTTAAAGAACAATCATGTCCAACTTCTAATTTATGGAGCAGAAATTATGATGTCAACAACATACAGCATTATATCACACTGTTAAGTCTGTGTAGCATGGAAAGTAAACATAAGTTCAAAACAAGTAGTATTCCTCTACCTAAACATAGGTGAATTAGGCTGGGAGAAGAAATGAAGTCAGTCCCACTTTTCCCACTACTAGATTAGTTATCTGTTAGAAATGCTAAACCTTACATCAGAGATTATGTTAAGCAGCTAGAACATCAGACTTCTTTGCAGTGTCATACTTCCTAGAAAGAATGTAACTAATTAAAAAACATTTAGCTAATTTTATCATAAAGAATGCACAAGCATTACTGAACAGAACATCCTGTCCTTTGATTAAATAGTAATATATCTGATTATGACAGGGGTTCTCAAACTGGTACGCATACCCCACCAAGACATCTCTGGGGGGCACACAGGAGAATCTGTGTAATTGTGGATTTAATTTTTATTATAATAATCAGCATTTAAGGGGTTAAAACATATATGCAGGTAGGGGTAAAGGGGCAGCTGATAAATCTGGAAGGGGATATGCAATAAGAAAAAGTGTAGGAATCTCTGGATTATGGCAACAGCACACCAGAGGGACGATATGTAAAAGAGTTAAAAAACTTAAAGGGGTATTTATAACTGCTAGTAATGTGTGTAGGGCATATTAATCTCAAACCCTTTGTTCCCCTCAAGTTACCATTTGGTAACTTTTTGCCCATTTAAAGAACTCAATGGCTACACTGTGCTGTCAGGAGACAAAAAGACAAGTGGAATGTTGCTTAGAAACCAGGAGCTGCAGCAATGGAATTCCAGTAGAGGTGGAAAAGAACAGCTGAGATGAGGAAAAAAACCACAAAAGAAGTGGCAGAAAGAGTAGACAAGCATGTTGAAGGGGACAGTTTTAGGGGAAAAGGAGGACAGAAAAGAAAAGAAAGGAAGAAAAAAAAGACTATGAAGAAGCAGAGGCCAAGAAGTAAACAGTTGGTAATTTAAAGGAGAACTATTAACAAATCAGTTTCAGGTTCTATACTTCCCACCAAATACCATTTCTATCTGAACTTAGAGGTAAGCCTCCATCTTTACACTGTAATACATACAAGTACTCAAAACAGAGAGCATTTTAATTTCCTTTCCTTTGCATTCCACATTAGTATTTATTTAAAGAAAATCAATCTGTTGAACACTATAAAAATACATGTGATTTATATAGCTTTACTATATATGCAGTCCCACAGTTTCTCCCATCATCATGGAGAGTAATATAGAATCAGGTGGACAGGGAACTTTCAGTTCACTAAAGAATTAGGATATGATGTGCCACAGCAGTCACGGGGGCTTGCTATAGAATTAAGATCAGCATAAAGTAGAAGAACGTTGTTCTGAATATATACATTTTTTATTAGCAGCAAAGAACTTCCAGTTTGAAGATAAAAAAAAAAAAAAAAAAAA